GATGGTGTCTGGGAGGTGTAGCCGGCATGGCAAAGGGCACAACAGCCTCTGAGGGGATAAGAAAGGCAGGGACAAAGCCATAGGAGAGATCAAAGGCTTTGGGAGCTGCTCCACTCTGCATCGGGGCCAGACGGGCTGGTGCCAGGTTAGCCAGGGCACCTGGGCGCCCCGTGGGGCCCGCAGGGTCCCTGCCCGCCTGGTCCTTCTGCAGCAGCTCCTGTAGTTTCTCCAGCTGCATCCGGCAGACGTGGGAGCGTGTGCGGCTCTGGCAGAAGGACTCCAGAAAGTAATCGAGGGGCAGGTCCTGGGCCAGGAACTGCGCTACCTGTGCCTGGGGAATGGGCACGGGACAGCATCAAGCCAAGAGAGCCGTGGGACCACAGAGGGATCACCCCTGGACCCTGGAATCTTCTCCAGGGCCTGGCATGCAGGAGGCCACAGAGAGGAGTTCAGGACCCAAACAAGGAAGGGGTAGAAGCACAGGGGTTTCTCGCTTGACTCACCTCTGACTCGGCCTCAGAGGCACTGAGCTTGGCTCGGAGCTGGCCCAGGGCACTCCGCGGGCTCCACTTCTCCAGGTACGCCTCTGTCGGGAGTGGATGGGGCTGCCAACAAACCTCCCCCAGACACCCCCACTACTGCGGGCTGCGGCCTTTCCCATTCCCAAGCTCTCCCCTCCCCAAACTTAGACACCACACACATTCCTGGAGCCACCTGCACACCAAGGCCTGCATCCCACCGCAGCATTAATCCTAGACAAGGGCAGGCTACGTCACAGGCAGCATCTCCCCACCGCTCCTGATGGAGCGGGTTCAAGAGTGCCGAGTCACCCAGGCCCTCCTACTCCATGGGTTGCTCTGGCTGTGCCAGGCTCTGCCTCATCCCATCGGCTGTGACCCACTCACCCAGGCGCTGCTGCTTGTCCCAACATGCCTCTCGTATCTCCCGCAGCTCCTGGTACTTGATGGCCAGAGATGCCTTCCCATCCTCCAGCCGCGGGCGCAGGGACAGGTTCACCCTGGCCAGGGTGCAGTTTGAAGCCAAACACATCTCCCGTTCCAGCTGCAGACTCTGAAACTGTGGGGATGGGAACGGGGGATGTGGGTGGGGTGTCAACACTGGGAGAAATGAGCAGAAGCAGTCAGAGCTGAGAGGGGGTCTGTTGCCATCCAGGGGCAAACCCTCTCCTCCTGCGCTGGCCCCATCCCTTTGCACTGCCTGGAAATGGGGTGCGTCCCGGGGAGGCGGTGCAACAGCTGGACTCAGGCTACACACAGCACAGGGCACATCACCTTGGATGTGGCAAACCTGAGTGGGCTGCCCAGCCTCCTTTGCAGAGGGAAGGCCTCGTTAGCTCCCGAGGATGGCAGGAGGGAGACGCGCACCCTGCCTCGCTGCACACACGTCTGCCACCCACGCAGAGAGGGGAGCAGAGCAGGGAGGCCCAGGGGAAAGCTGCTGAAATCTGGCTGGGAACGACTCCAGAATAACC